AAACACAAATCAAAGCTAAGTAACCAAAGATAACTATTCTAAAATTCTTATGATATCACAAAATATTTTATTCAATTTCCCAAACTTATTTGATTTCTCAAATAATTAAAATTGAAAAGTTATCATTCACTTAAGGTAAACATTGGCTTGATTGTCTCTTTTTGGAATGATTAGTTAAAAAACTTAACTGAAGTTACAAAATTGCAGACATTATTCCCATTTTACAGAAAAAGAAATAAATCTAGCAAAGTACTTAAAGTTCCTCTTTGATTTAAAAATATTGTTTTAAGATTTTAAACTATTCATATAACATCTAATAAAACTGATGTGACCATTGCACTTTTCCAAATGGCTAAAAACCTAAACTACTCCAAAAAAGAAACAAAAATTTTTCTAGTGGTATTCTTTAATAATTGCAAATGATGTACTATTCTACAATTATAAGGATGGATATATCTCAGTTTTGTAGGTTGTAAACTCCTTAGGTTAGAAATGCCTTATTCTCTTTTTCTAAAAGAGCTTCTGCAGTATTTTTCACATAGCAAGTGCCCAATTAATGTTGTCAATTGAATATTTAGGTTCTAACTCATTCAAAATTCTTTAAACTACTAGATAATTTTCCTCTTGTAAACTTTGTGCAAAGTTCAAGTTGGAAATAAAATATTTCAAGTACGTAATATAGCATATATTTAACAAACAAATGAAAGAGAGTAACTAATTAGATTATTGAGGTCTAAGCCAATATACTGAAATTGCCAGTCAATTGAGGCCAAAGTGTTATATTTCAATAATCTAAGATGATTTTTTTCAGTGGTGCATTTCATTATACAATTGTAGTTCTTAAATACTTAATCTATAATTATCTTAACTATTCAATTTTTTTTGAAACCCCATCAAATTTTGATTGGTCATAGTAGAGTCAATATTGGTTCTGGTTTCAGGATTGCTCTGTAACATGTGTTTTCATGGAACTATTTATTGGCATATCTTTAAGTTTTGATACCAAGAAGAAAGTCCTTCATGTCCTGTATATTAGTTTTTATAATAATAATATTTTTGGTGATAAAAGAAATAAATATAAGAAATAGCTGAAAGAAAATCCCAGGGAATTATATGAAAAATTTAATTTTAGCCTTTTTTTTTATAGTTCAGTGTCACATTGAAGCAAAGCAGATAAGTTAAAAATCTTGAGTATGTGTTTATTATATCTACTGATACCATACAGAGTTAGTTCATCTTTTAAAAATTAAATAATATGTTGCATCTGAATAATGTGTGCTAAGATTAAATCTTTAGCACATTTTATATTTCCATTTTTCTCCAAATAAGCTTACAGATTAAAAAATAATATTTATAAATTAGCTAGCAAAAGAGCTGAATTAGAAACCACTCTACTTAATATTCTACCAACACATTAAAAACGCACCCTTCCAGTATCCACCCTTGCACATTTATCCACCTCTTTGTACATACCAAATAACATTTATTATCACCTGGAAAAAGCTAAATTAACAAAATGTCCATGGAATCACCAATATAATTTTTAACACTTATTAAAATACCTGACAATTTTAATTATATCTGATAGAAATACTATTAAGAAAAAGAATCCTGTTACGTTAATATTAGATCAGCCATTCCAGCTTCCTCCTGAGTAAACATGTGAAAATGGTTAAACAATAAATTTCTATGGCAACAACTTAAATTCTAGGATATTCTTAGTTACAGCAACAACCACAGAAGCTATTAGTTTCTTCAAAGCAATGGAACTAAACAAGATATTTCCTTTTTTCCTCCTCTTCCATCTGGTACAACTAAAATCTCTTTTACTTTGATGAATTAAATATGATTTAACTAGAAACAAGATATCTCAACTAGTGCACGTGGCAGCTACAAGTGTAAGAACATTTCACATAAAGACAACAAAAATAAGCTAGGCACTTCTAAATGAAAGTTATGTGCTAAGACCATATATGTATTATGTATCCTGTAAACTAAACTAATACATAATATATATTACTTTAAAGCAAACTAATATACATGGCTATATATTAGTTTATATATATGTATATATATATATATATAATTGTGACAGAGATTCTTTATCAAGATAAAAAAATTCTCTGAACAATGGATGTTCTTTTACATTAAACCATTGCTTAGGTTTTCTACATGGATTTTTAAACATATATTAGTGTTTATTAAAATATTTGATAATTCTAATATTTTAGAATCAATAGATAACTTAATGATTTGAACATCTATAATTCATAAATGCATATAGCAATTCATCTTTTTTCTTATATGTTGCCTTTTTATACATCCTTGGAGAACACACTAAAGTTATCCCCTTTAAATGTAGGGCAATTTTCTTTTGCTGAAGACATATTGGAAATATAAAGGGCTACCAATACGTACTCAATTAAGAAGATACAACTTGGGTTTTTGATTTGTTATAAAGTATTTTTACAGCTATATATATATTTTTAAGGATATTCTTCTTTAAGAGTTTATCCTGTTAATATATATGATCATGCCATTCAAACAATGAGGTTTTATAGTATGAGGGAAATTGGGTTTAAATATCGCTCCAGTATCTACCAGCTGTGATCTGAGTTATTGCGTATTTCCTTAAGCCTCAATTTTTTTCTTATCCGTAAAATGGAAATAGCAATATTATATTAAATTATTTTGTATTTGTAAGGGTTAAATTAAATAATTATGTAAACTATTTAGCCCATGCCTGACACATGATAACCACTAAAAGCTGTTAAAGCTAGTATTTGAAAAATAAGTTTACTCTTTAAACTTTGTCCTCTATATCATGATTTATTTTTAATTAGTATGAAGAAAACTTCTTGCCCCAATGAACGTCTTCTAGGAGAAGTTCTAGTTTCCGGACTTAGACTAATCATGTTATTAGTTTTAAAAGTTACTATTACGCCTCACTAGATACCTCACCAAAGATGTAGAATATCTACCATCTTTTCTTTTCCTTCTTAACGTTATAACATTGTTGAATATGACTCTTCCCCTCCTCCAACTTTTCCATTACAAGTAAATCTGTTGATTGCTTACAGGGAACCCTGTTGTACTTTCCAAAAAAAAAAAAAAAAGAATTAAGGCCTTTATAAGAAAAATAAATAAATAAACAGCCCATAATATCTGTCAGTGGATAGTAAGTTCCAATTTTATCACTATGAAATGTATTCCACAAACAAAAGAATCAAGAGAGAAAATGATGAATGGCCTTAACTATAGCCGCAGTTTATAATAAAGATTTTATTTAAAAACCGTTAAAATAAATAATACATACTCCAGAACATCATTGTTCTGGGAAATTACTTCTCTTTAAAATATGAGTTCTAGAAGGCAAATCTTACTTCTACTGCTCTGGGGGCTTTCATTAGCTGATATATATATATCAGCTATATATATATATATATATATAAAATTAAAAAAAAATCTGTGATCTGCAGTCTTTTAACATACTTCTCCAGGATGGATATGTGGTGGAATGCAGACCCCCATCAATATGTGTAGTTTTGTTTGCTTTATGTTCCTTAAATGCTAATAAAATAGACTGCTTAGCAATCCCAGAGGAATACGATTGAGGCCAGGTTAAACTGGCTCATAAAATTCAAACAGTTCAATGCTTTTCTTGTTAATTACTAGGCCACAACCAGAAATACTAATGATGGGAAAGAAACACTTCTTTAGGATAATGATTGATTTCCATAAAGATGAGTGCTTTAACAAATTCCAGTATGCAGTTGTTGGGGCGGGGAGGGTGGGTGGGCACTAATTAGTTTTACCGTTTTCAGCAGATGTTGAATTCAAAACGCCAGCAGCATCTCAAATGCCAGTCATTAGGGCTGTCTTTCATCGAAGAGTGCTGACCAATGAAATCTCCACTCTGTTTAATGAGACCGATCTAGGCAGAGTCAATTAAATCAAATCTCTACTATCATCCTTAATATATCTGCAGTGTGTGCAGCACCAGCAGAAGCAGCAGGGAGGGATTTCCAGTATTAATAAAGGGATTCACTGCCGCATAAGGAGAGGGAAAAAAGGGGGTGGGGGAGGGTGTGTTGGGGAAGACCTTACTTTATGGACAGGGGAAAGCTGGAAAAGCCCGGGTGGGGATGGAGGAGGAGGGCAGCTACGTAAAGGATAAAAAGCTAAGTAAAACGATTAGAGAAAGAGCTCCCTGATAGAGCTCTAGAAAGGATCCACCCCCACCCGCCCCCTCCCCCGTCCCTTCCACCGCAAATCCAATTTACCAATTGCAAACATGAAGCTGGAAAAATGTAAGGACCCAGAGTTGAAAACATTTTCACTTTAATACTGAAAAAATATGCCATTATAAAATCCTCGAATAGAATTAGTAAGTTTCACGTGCTTCCTCGGTTCTTTTTTCCTACTGTATAAGTAAGATTTACACCAGCACAGAATTGCTACCATAAGATCGCAGCCTAAGCACTAGAATGACATTAATTGGTCATGCTTAACTGCCTCAAAATCTTTTTTTTTAATAATTACACTGATACTATAATAGAAATCATGGGTACTTATTTTACATTCAGATGGAAGGCATTATTGGATATGTATAGAAAAATATTCCCCCTCAAAAAAAAGTAAAACATCACCATCAAAATAAAAGAAAGAACCCAAAACAACCCATAAAAACGTCGCTCAACAAAATACATTTTTAACTCATAAAATGGACTGATGATTAGCCATGCAAATGTCTTAAATAAAACCTTTACATTTTTTTTTCACAGTAAACGTACGTACGCTCTGAACTGCCTACCGATCACAAATAATGGCGAAATGGCACTTTCTGATTATACTGTGTTTTGTTTATAGAAAGTTTGATACGATGGGACTTATCAGGTAAGAGGGTGGGTGCTGTGAACGTGATGCCGGCTCCAGTCGCCAAGGAAGGCAGCGTCCCTGGAGCGCGTGGTTTCCATGCGAGCCATGCAGCACTTTTTTTTGTCAGAAGTCAAAGTTATTTATTTACAATACATTCATGCCTTCGTGCAACTGCCCATCCCTGCATAGCCAACAGGGAGCCATCACGCCCCCCTCCTCACCGGGCCAATCCACAGGGGAAAAATAGATATCTATCTCTCTATATAGATGTGGGTATATGTAAATACGTATAGGACCGCGGCAGCCATCCCCATCAGCTCCACCGAAGAGGGCTAGTTCTTTGAGCAGGGCCCCCGCTGGGTTTTATCAAAAGGAGCTCGCTGCAAAGAGCGATTTGGCAGCGCTCTCCCAGCTCGCCACAGTCTGCTCTTTGTTTCCAGGAGGGAACTAAGGGGTCAGACCCTCTCACTGGAGCGAGTTCATAGTTATTTATTTACTTATGTCCATAAAGCCTTGGGGCGCGCTGGACTTGGATCTGGGCTCCTCTGACCCCTGGGCTGACATCGGGGGTGGGGACAGAGTGGTGGGGGCATCTCCTTCCTGCTGCCCCGCTCTACCCTGGTTGGGGTCTTAGTCTGAGAGCGAGTGGGAGCCACAGTCATATACTCTGTGGGCCCCATCTGCGTTGTAAGGCCCATTGTGCCAGTAGGAAGAGTCACAGACTGTCTGTAGGGAATTAATTTCGGACGCCGAGGAGTTGGCGTCCCTTCTCTTAGATCGTTTTCTATTCCTCAGGATAAACACGAGCATGCCCACTACAGTGAAGGCGGAGGTGACAAACACCAGCAGCAGTCCCGGGACCAACACGGAGATGGACACCCTGCTGGTGTCTAGATAGGAGTTGGAGTGCGTCCCGGTCTCCGCCAACCCGGTGCTGTTTTTACTGTGCGAAGTTAACGTGGGCGAGATCCTCGCGTACAGCTGGGGGCAGATCTCGTCATTAGAGAGGAGCATGAAATCCTTCCTAAAGAAGTTCACCGGCGTCTCACACTTGAGGTCGCTCATCAGCACTTCGGAACCCAGGCGTTCTGCCCATTGCTTAAAAGGCACAATGGTGCAGGAGCACTCCCAAGGGTTTCCGTGCAGGTCTATCTGGATGATGGAGGTTAACTGGTCCAGCACCCCTGCCACCGGAAGGTACATGAAGTAATTGTTGTGCAGGCTGAGCTTAGAGAGTGAGACCCCAGCGAACACGTCCACGGGTAGGGACCTCAGCAAGTTGTTATTGAGAATGAGGATCCTCAGTTTGGGCATGGCATTGAAAGTGCCAGGAAGGATGAGCTGGATTGCATTGTACTCCACGTTCAGGTACTCGAGGTTTTGCAGCCCGGCGAATTTCTCCCGAGACAGTGTGTCCAGGTAGTTGCTATCCATATACAGCCACCTGAGGTCCAAAAGGTTCTTAAAAGTGTTGTTTTCTACGGTAGCAATGTTATTGTTGCCCAGATCTAACAGAATGAGATTCTTGTAATCCACAAAGTGCGATTTTCGGATGCTATGGATCTTATTATCTCGAAGGAAAAGCTCCTGCACGTTGGGGAGTTTGGGCTTCAAATCAGCCAAACTGCTCACGTTCCGGTTGTTGCAGTTTATCTTTAAACCCGATCCCGGGATGTGGTCGCAGCTGCAGCCCCCAGGGCAGGGCAAGCCGTTGGCTGGGGGTTTGTTTCTGGCGCTGCCGGTCGCTATCGCAGCAGTGGGTCTTATTTTGATCTGCCAGTTGCCTGGGATCTTTGTACCTCCGTTTGGAGCAGACCCTGGGGTGGCACGATCCTCTTGCCCATTTGTCTTGAAAGGAGTTGGCAGGGGGCCAGGAGCGAAGGTCTCTTCTTGGGCAGGGGGCGCTGGGAGACTGGAATCCACTCGGTTTTTCAAAGGACACAAGTCCTGTTCTGTGGTTCCATTGAGGTCTTTCCCTTGCAGTCTGGTGGGGGCTTCACAGACAACTCGGCCGATCAGAGCATTTTTGGGAATATTTTCCAGCCATTCTTTCAGGGAGAGGAGATCACAGGTGCAGTCCCACGGGTTATCCTCTAGCAGAATCTCAGCAATGCCAGGGATTTGCTCCAAGACTTCCTCATAGGGCAGCGTTTTCAGCCTGTTTCCCCGGAGGTCGAGGTGGGTGATGGGCACATACTGGAACACGTTGGCAGGTAGGGTGCTGATGAGATTGTCATTTAAAATGAGTACCTCCAGCTTGTTCAAGTCCTGGAAGGCCCCGGGGTCTATATCCCGTAATAAATTAAAATCGGCCTGGAGGTATTCCAGATCGTCCAGCCCCAGAAAAGTCTGCTTTCGAAAAGACTTGATCTTGTTGTTGTTGATGTGCAGCCTTTTCACCAGCTGCAGCCCCAGAAAAGCCCCAGGAACGATTTCATGCAAGCCATTGTTTTCCATGTGCAAACTAACCGCATTATAAAAGTTAGCAAACTCATTAGGGAAAAGTCGAGTGAGGGAATTACCATGCAGAAATAGATGGTAAAACTGGGAAGTCGGGGCGGTGAAACGCTGCAGACTTGTAAAGCCCTTTTTTTCACAGTCTACGTGTAGGTCCCCTTCTATCTCATTGCAGGAACAGATCTTCTCTTTACAAACGTCCCCTGTAACGTTTCCAGCGGCAAAACAAAGAGACGTCTCCAGCAACAGAATCCAAAGCAGCATTTTTAAAGCGAGCAATTCATCCCCGATCTCATCACAAAGTAACAGCGACCATCCTGCTCGCCACAGACACAATTCAAGTTCATTTAGTGCTCCAATGTCCGAACCCAGGGAAGGAGAAGAAAAGGGTTTGGGGGGGTGGGGGTGGATTCCTTCCTCCCTAACCCCCCCGCACTGCAACAACCCAGGCGCCAGTCAAGAATTATATCCACAGACTATCCAGGCACGTAGTGCAAGGCAAGCAAAAAAAAAAAAAAGAAAGAAAGAAAGAAAGAAAGAAAGAAAGAAAGAAAGAAAGAAAGAAAGAAAAAAGGGGGGGAAAGAAAGAAAGAAAGAAAGAAAGAAAGAAAGAAAGAAAGAAAGAAAGAAAAAAGGGGGGGAGGGGAAGAAAAAGAAAGGAAGAAAAGAAGAAAGAGAAAGAAAAAAAAGTAGAAAAAATAACCCTACTCCCCCTCAACCCTTTAAAAATTACCAAAAGAAGTTAAATATATACATATAAATTAAAAATACACCCTTACAGAACCTGGTCTAGTGGTCCTCACTAATCAGGAAAGGAACAATTCTAGTAATTAGAAGCAAGTGCATGTTAGAGAAACAAGCAGAGGGTTTGCAGCGTAGTACAGGCGCACTGCCTGTGCATGGCTGTGCGTCGGACTGACCTTGCCTCTGATACAAAGCAGGGTTTTCGGCGGCTTCTGTAGCTGAGGCGGCTGATGGAGTTCTTGCTGTGGCTGCAGGTTGCCCAGAAGTCCCCCCCGAGGTGCTGTCCAGTCCCCCCGGTGCTGAAATCACGCCCGACCGAAGAACTCACGCTGCCGAGCCAATGGCGCTGGAAAATTTCCGCAATCGCTGCGTTTTGTAGCTGTCCATCCTTTTCCTTTCCTTCCCTTCGGTCCTCTTCAGCTTTTTTTCTGGGCTCCGGCTCTCGGTTACTAGCTCTTCTTTTCTTTTTCTCCTCTTTATTCTGCTCTTTCGGAATTACGTGGAGGGGGCGGAGGGCGGGGGGCGAGTTGTCTGAGGGAGGGAGAGAGCGCGAGAATGGGGAGGGGGGTAGAAGAGAGTTGCTAAGAAGCTTGCTTGTTCCAGCCTGGTGCACTCTGAAAGATCTGACACCCTCTGCTGATCTGCAGTAGCAAAAATCCATCTGGTGAGGGAATGCTGAAGAAAAAAAAAATCAATCCACGTACAGGGCAAGCGTTAAAAATGTGGGCATTAAAGGCTGTCGATCCACATAGACGTTTATTTTAAATGGATTATTTAATTCTTTTTGCGTGATGAAAACTTTACCCTTTCCTTTCCTTAACGACCTCACAGCCCCCACTACCTCCAGCGTTTGGAAAGGAGTGCTTTTAAAACATTTATTTCCCAATGGCTTGAATAAAATTAGTGTCAGGGTGTCAAGCGAACAGCAATTTGAGGTAATTATACTGCACGCCATTTTCATCGGTGCTTTAAATGCATTTCTTCCGTCTCTGCAGTACAATGTTTTATGATATTTGATGTCTTTGAAAATTTTTTTTGGCATGTTGAAAGTGGTTATTTGGAATATATAGTCATATCATATATATATATTTTAAATAATATAACTGGGTATGAATTTTTTGTTGCATGGTATATAATTTAGGCACATACTTTTTCTTTTTTAAACTTGGTATAGAATTTTAGTCAATTTGGTCGTTGAGAGTTGGGTTTCTCTGATATTTCTTGAATGTTATTTAAGTCTGCAGGGTGAAAATACAATGCATGCCTGCGTCTTTGATTCCAGACCCAAAATCTTTCACTGAGAACCGGAAAAGGAGGGAGGGAGCAGGAAAAAAAATCCCAGTATGATTCGTGAGTGCTCTTAAATATCCACTGGCAGATTGGCACTCGCACCACACACACACACACACACTCATATACCCAAAGTTTCCAAATCCATATGGACAAATTTAAAACGCTTACAAGTAAATAACCAGTTGCATTTTGAGAGGGAGTGAGAGAAAGACAGGGCGAGAGATAGAGAGAGAGAGAGAGAGAGAGAAAGAAACCACCGGTTTCTAAGGCCCTGTATGAATGTTATCTGCAGGTAGTGGGCAGTTTCTCTTCTCCGGGTCACTGATGCTGGTGGAACACCCAGTTAGGGCTTTTCCCAGAGAGGGAATCATCTGGTTCCTTGAACTTAGATGGAGCTTATAAAAACCAGGTTCTAAAAACATCTGAGAAGGGAGGGAATATGAGAATGCTGCTTGTTGGAAAAGTCAGCTGTTCTGACTTTCTTAACAGAGTTGACACCTTTTCCATCAATATATTCTAAAAATCATGTGCATGATTTTAGGGTTTGAATTTATAGGATATTATTATTATTATTAATTTCCTTTCTTCAGTAGAAGCAGAAATATGTTTACATCAGTTTCCCTTTTAATTAGGTCTTACACAGTTGGACAGCTGTTAACATGCCTGCTAATAATCTGAGTAAAAGATCCAATATTCAAGGATGTGTGCAGTTTGAAAAAACTAGAGAGTAAAAGAATTCCAGGAAGGACTAGGGATGAGGAAATTCAGGGAAGTATAGAGGAAATTTTTTTTTTCCTGGGTCCAGAAGCTAATTCTTGGGGGAGGCAGTTTTCATATCCATATATAATATTTTCATGTAATCAAATGTGTTATTTTCTGGTGAAATTCAGTGGGAGGGCATGGATGAAGGTTCAGTTTGTGTGTGTGTGTGTGTGTGTGTGTGTGTGTGTGTGTGTGAGAGAGAGAGAGAGGACTTTTTCAGACAACCTATTACACTTCTAAAACAATCTGGTTCTTATATCATTTAACCCATTACCACATGTAGAAAGAGGAAGAGCTTAATCTGAAACCATTTCACAGAAAAACTGCTATGCAGTTGAGAAATGCAGATGTGCAAGAGAAGTTAAACTGAAGGGAAGGATATTTCTGAATCTTTGTAATAGGACTCAGGTCTGAAACTTCTTGGCCCCAGAAACCACCCTGTGAAAGAAGGCAGCCTCATGCAGTGTCTGTGATTGATAGGGGTAGGCCAGGCTCTGAAGGAGACACAGAAAAATGCTCCCTGTTTAGAAAGAAAAATATTGATGGTAATCATCTAAAATCACACCATTAAACTTAATTGGTTACTTGTTTATTCAACTTGCTGAATACTTTATGCAAAGAGACCCAAAGAACATATTTCAGTTGATTTTAAATGAACAGGTAAGGTAACAAGCAATTGATATTCAGATTTCATCCCTCCCCCACCCATTAAACTTTATATCTCTGTCCCCTGATTGCTTCTTGCCTCTCAAAGCACCCATCACATTAGAAAATTTACAATCAGGATTTTCCTATTTTGATATGTTACAATTTTTTTTTTCAGTTTTACCCTCCTCAAATAGTTTATTATCTCTGCACTCTAAGAAAGGGCATGTGGTAGGGCCAGATGAGCAACCAAATCTCGGAAGAAAATATTAAGGTAATATTACCTATATGAAGATATTCAATGCAAAATTGCAAGCAAAGAATATAGGCACACACGTAGTTCAGTTGAAAATGCACCCTCATTACTTTTGACTTTGCCAAAAGTAACAAAGCTACACACCAATGAGCCAACAAAATTTTTCTTAAAAAATTATTTCCATATTAAATGTATTTCAGAGAAATAAAGCAGTCTGGAATAGCATATCCATCCCTCCAAAGGCTAACTCTTCAAGTATAACGGTAACTTTCTTGGTAGGAAATAAAAAAAATATGGTAATGCCTTACGGGAATATTTCTTAGGCATGAACTCTTTTTAAAAGGGTTCTACTATATCTATTTGAGCTCAAGTGAACTACTTCAATTGCTTTGCCTCTCATAACAGATGATCTCAGGAGCCTGAGATAAAGGATACTCCAGATGATGATGAGAATTGATAATATTTGCTCAGGGCTGTAGTTTTGTTTCTGGGCTGTGGCCAGAAGGATTTCAGTTGTATCATTAAATGTTCATATTTTCTTATTCTTCCTCAAACAGGTTCATCTCTCAAGTGACAAAAGTTAGATGTACATATCACAGAATCATTAAGATTAAAAATAGAATTATCAGTTTATTATCTATTTCCCCCAAGTGTCATCAAATTTCCAGATGTTTCCATACGTGCACTACATATTTAAGATGGAAGAGTAGAAAACATAACCAACATTAATTTAAGATATTTTCATTATTTATTCTGCACAATAATTTTTAAAGTATTCAGTTTTGATTTTTAATTTTTAAAAAGAAATACATTTTTATTTAAGAAACACAAAATTATATATAGGAAGTCCATCTTTGGCCTTCTCTTATCCATGCTTTTTATTCTAGAGGGAAATACTGAAAACTTGTGTATGGTGATTTTGATATTGTTATTCTATTTTATAGATGTGGAAACTGAAACTGAGGAGTATTGAGTAATTTACCAAGATTGAATAATACTAGTTGACTTTGCCCAAAGTAATAAAGCTACACACCAATGAGCTAAACTTTTATTCTCACTCCTAACTCCTTATTTGTTCTAAATGCTGTTACTTTAGTTAATCTCTCCATGGGTCAGTTTCCTTACTAGTAAATTAATTCATTGAAGTTTATGGAATTTTTGGTCCCTTCAGGCTCTTTTTTCTGAATCCAAAATCTTTAAAAATAATTTCAGAAAAGTCCCAATATCTCTTGTTTCCTTAGACTTTTCACATTTGGACTTCGGGTGTTTTATTAATGTATTTGCATATTCACTAGAGCTTGAAACCAAGAATGAATGTAAAAAGCACTGTAGAATAGAATTCACTAGTGCTGAGTTTAATCTACTACTATTCTTTCCTATGTTTCACAAGATAAAGGGGTTGTTGGAATTCTTCCTTCTGTGATAACAATTGTAAACTAAGAGATGAGAATATAAATCAATTACACCTGTAAACTAACATGCTTAGAATGTAAGGTTTCCACCTATTTCTTTTTAATTTCTTTTTGTATGATTGTTAATAATTTTCAAGGAGTGGAGTACCAAGATAATTATCACATTACATGACATCTGAAGGCAAAACCATAAAATATATTTTGAAAATATTTTTTTTAGTTGCTTGTCAAAATGTAGCTTTTATTTATAATAAAATAAACAGCAAACTAAGTAGAACACGTAAAAATACTTTTACAGGGGCGCTTGACTGG